GGACCATGGATGCACTGTGCGCTGCAAAAACTTTCTCCTACAGACATTCCACCCAACATACTGTTTGTTCTTGAGAAAAAAAGCTAGCTTGAAAGAACTGGCCTCATTATTGTCATAATTACCTTTCTCATATAAAAATTAATTATTTGCTGTATTCAAATTCAAGCACATTTAAGTACTGGGTGCCACATTAGCCAGCTAGGCTCCTCGCCTATTCCCACAGGCTGCCTTTCCTCACGCCTCCCCCTCCGCCAAACAATCCATGGCTTATTCTTCTTATGTGGCTGGGCCCCCAAGGAGCCATCAGAACTGGGGGTGAAAGGAGGGGAGCCCCTGCTACTGCTTCAGACACAAGTTCAGAAAGAAGGTTAGTCCAGGGATGTGGAATGAACACTCGATCCAAGAGAGAGAGGTGGGCAAGAAAATCCTTTAATAATTACATTTAAACTGCTATCATTTCATGGTTTAGGAAATTTCTGAACAATTAAGAAAAACTAGTGCTCATGCTTTCAAGCTTATAATTTCAGTTCTCACAGTAACTCCTCGACTGCGGCTCCTCCCCCTGCACCTCTTGCGCTATGTTCTTTCCCTGGCAATTATCTTCTTTGACTAAACAACACTGTAAAGAAGCAGGAATCACATCAAAACCATCACGCCCGAGGCACGTTGCATATGCAACCTTCAGAGAACTCAAAAACATAAGTAGATGCAAGTCACAGTATGTGAGAATTAAAAATGATGGCACAATTAAAGTATTCTGAGCTCACCAGATACCCGTTGTGTGAAAAATGATGTTCAATACCACGTGGAGAATCTGTGCTCTCAGAACACAGCACAACTTCCCCTCATCTCGGCCCATTCAGCAGGAAACCCACTCACCTTGAGATGATACTGGGGAGAGTGAAACCCGAGCTCCTGCACGTCTGAACAAAGCACCCGGGCTCCTGGACGCGCCAGGAAAAGAGTGGTTTTGTTCCAGACCTATCACTGTGGCTGCACGCCAACTCCCTGGCTGCCACGAGCTTCCCCGCACCTCCCAGAATTCCTCATCCCCAGAGTTGACGCCTCATTTGCAGCCTTGTTTTCCCCTCTATTATGGGGCAAGGACACAACTATGACCTTATTTATCACTAAAGCTCTATCATATTTTATATGCCCCCAGTGTTAATCCCTGAAACCCTGGAAGCAGGATAAATTCTTATTCTATAATAAGGAGATAAAAAGTATGGGGACTGGACTTACTCTTATTTTTGTAACAAGAACAACAAAAGGGATGTCAAGTGCTTAGAAGTGAAGAGTCATAAAAGTCCACTTTTCATTAGACAGTGACTTATTAAGCACCCACTGTGCCCCTCAGGCTGTACTACCAGGTGGGAAGAGAAGCATGATTAGCTTGGTGTTGGAGTAACCAAACAGCAGGTGATCTTACATTATAACAACACCCTGGTATAAGCACCACCGGCATTATTCTCACAAGTAAACATAACTGGGACTGACCTGTTTCAAGAACAAAACTCAGTCTCCAATTAAGCGCCTGCGTCATATCACGTGTCCCACTGAAAGCAGCCTGAGCATGCATTCTCAAAGCTGTTTTCACTCATGCTGAACAAAGGAGGGGTGTGGGGTTTGGAGTGTGGGGGTGTGTGTGTATGTGTGTGGGTGTGGGTGTGTGGTGTCTCCCACCTTCCATTTCCAATCACTCCATCAGCCGAGACATGCCCAGCAGGACGATGCACTCACCTAAAGGGGGCATGTGCGTGTGTGCCTATTTTTTTCTCCCACCATTATCTTCCGCTCCCCATCAGCACAGATACACCCAGCAGAACGACGCACTCCCCACGTTCCCACCGCGCCCGTGGCAATCCCCACGGGGACAGTGCCGCGTGGACTGACCTGCTGCACGTCCTGCTGGAACACACACAGCTGCAGCCTCTGGTGCAGCCGCACCTTGCGGTGCTGCCAGATGTTCTCCAGCTGCCGCTGGTGGTGCAGCACCTCATGGATGACGTCCAGGACATGGTGCACCGCCTTGGAGTAGTTGGCAGAGGCCGTCAGGGAGTCGGAGCTGCCGGGAGTCAAGGGCCGCTGGAGCTTGTCAAGGAGTGACTTCCCATCCTGGCTCACCTGCCCGCAAAACAGACGCGCCATTATACACCAGTGACAGTTCCAGACCTTTCCTGGGCAGCTTTGCCCAGGCCATCTGCAGGCTCTGTTCCCGGATGCGTGCACACACATGTGCACATACACACTCACACACACAAACACAAACCACTGTTTTACTCAAGGCATATTTTATAAAGGACAAAATAAAGTTAAAAACAAATGCATTCGTTATCCAGACACCTCAGAACCAAATGTGGTAAGACACTGAGTTAAAAGAACATTCATCATCATAAAACATTGTAGTAGGACTTATTCTTAATGATTAAACAGCATACTGCCTTAAATCACATAAATCTGATGACATAAAATTGCACTGCTGGGATATCTGCAAATTAAAACTTTAAAGTAATGATTTTAAGTTGAGATATTGTGTTAGAATACAACAATCACAATGGAGCGAAATTTTAATGCTGAATCTTGAAACCTTGGCTTAAAAACAGATCAATAATTTAGCACCAGGCAAGGAATATGTACATAAACTCTCTGACATAGTTGGACAGCAATTTTACTTCACAAAATAATAAGAAACATGTAAGTGCCATTTTATTTGGTTTATTAACTTTAAAAAGTAATGTTAATTAAAATGTCATCAGCTTTTAAAACAGATGTCTGTGTACACTATGGCAGTTAACTACTGAAGTACAATTCAATGAAAGTATTCAGACTAAGCAAAGAAATAAGAAAACATGCGGGTGGAATACATTAAGAAAAGTGTCACATATCTTTCATTTTTAAGATTTAGGAATGATTATGCCGGATGTGGCTGAAACAATAAGTCCCGATCAGATAATGAAAAGGGCATGTGGCACGTAAAGCAACTGTGCTTTGAGATTCCCAGAACTTCTTAGTAAGGCCTCAACACCATGATCTTTGTGCTCAGACACTTCTTTTTATTTTTTTTAAGTGTATTTTTCAATTACTGCTGACATACAGTATTATATGCGTTTCAGGTACACAAAACAGCATCGTGATTATCTGAAAACCTTGGGTTTCTATTGAAAGGAGGAGCAAATATGATTCAGGGGGAGCCCTCGGGGTAGAGAGGAGGGGACTCATGGGCAAACGGGAGAGGCTAAGGCAGGAAGCCTCTAGTAACCAAAATCTGGTGGCAAGTGAGACGCCTGTGGGATTTTCTAATCTCTTCCTTTAATCCTCTTACAACCTTAAGTCCTGCTGGAATGTAACATTTTTTTTTTCCAATACCTGATTTTGAGATTTTTGTTGCAAGTGCTGACTGTTCCTTATAGGCTGGCTATCAGCCTTCACAGATTAAAATTGATCTAGTACATCAAGACCACAAAACCTAAGTGGAAACAAGACAAGCAGACATTACCAAAGATAACAGGTAACAAAAGAACCAACTGGACCACTGAGTTAGTGTCAGGCATGTGTAAAAGCAAAAACAGTGAGAGTGTAGGTCTTCTTTCTAAAGCGGGGAGGCGCCCCCTGAAATCACTGAACTTGAGTGGCCATTGCAGATACAAGTGCCAGGAAGGGAGTGATCTGGGGGAGGGACTTGGTGCGATGGGGTCAGAGAGGCAGGATATTACCTCTAAATGAAGAAGTGCCCTGCTTTTTGGAATTCTCCCAGCAAGGCTCTATTTAACACATAAACACACAGAGCAGTTGGTTTTTTCCAGGCCTACTCTAACACTGGTTTTTCTGGGAAGGCAGTTACCATGTTAATGAATCAAAGGAAGACTGTACTTGATTCTCCTTAGAACTTGGCAAGAGCTGCTTTTTCAAAATGTCAGTACAATACCACCACTCTCTGTGTCAGAGTCACCAATCTAACACAGGTCCAGTGTGCACCTGTAGTTGTCGCAGCCACAGTGGTTTTATATGTGTGGCCAGCACCTGAATATCTAATTTTTTGTCTTCTACGATGCATGTAATGTAGGCATTTATAGACTGAAACACATTTTATTGTGAATCACCTTTCTTTTGTCTGATTTCTATGAAGTATATATGTACTTTATATGTGTACATATGTAAGTTTTATGTGAAAATAATTATCCACACGTTTTATTTCAGCAGGCATCATAAACTTTTTGGTAAACCAGTGGGGGTGCGGCATCTCTTAGGACTGAGAACCACCGCCCCAACTCACACAGTTCTCCCTGTACAGAGCCTAGGAAGAATTCCTTACAAATACCTCCTCTACGCTTTACTCCTCATGACACGCCTCAGTCCGGAAACATACACCGGAGCCTACGACTTGGTGCACACGTGTCAGAAGGATACAGGATCAGGTGTAGCAGGAGCTGACAGCGGCCTCCTCCAAGTCCGCTCGCCCCTCCTGGAGAGCCAAACCCCCCCGTCAGGAACAGTAAGGCCCCAGCCATCCAACTGTATTTCCCAGCCTTGCTTACAATGTACGGAAGTAACAGATGTTAAGGGGGCTGCCAGGAGAGCTGTGCAGGAGGCTGGCACGCTCAGGCCTCCTTGCCTCTTTCTCCTCCCTGAGGCCAAGGACTTGGTGGAGACGGCTGGGGGTTCAGCAGCTATCAGCGACCTTGAGGAGATCTTAAGGATGGCAGCACACCCCCTAAAAGGGGCAAAATGAAAAGACAAAAGGATCCAGAGATCCTCTTACTAACAGAGCTACCACATCAGCCCTGGACTTCTCCACTGGCAGAGGCAACCCTCTGTCTTAAACCACTGTTTTGGAACTTAAATCAATAATACAAGATGACAAATGGTTTCCCAGTCTCACCTAGTCTCCAAAGGCATCCACGTGATGTCGTTAATATTCTACTACTGAGAAGGAATAAATAATCTGAGCAAGGCTATTCCAATGATTCTGTCTTTCCTAGGGTGTCTTCGTAACTGTTTAACAGAGTTCGAGAGCAGATCTCATTACTGGGTTTAGAACACCATGCTTGCTCATGGTGGAGGGGTGGTGAGGAACGGCTGAGGACTGAGAACACCAATTCCTTAACAGAAGACAACTCAGTAAGCAAAGCTTTGCCTTCCTGGGATTCCTAGGCAGGGGTTACACTGCCTCTGTTGGTGCCACTGCTGGTATCGTCACTTAGAGAAAGTGGCACCAGAAGACACAGGAAAAGATTCTGGGCAAAGAAACACCTCTCGCCTCCACTAAGACCGGACAGCACGCAACTCCAACGCGTGCTCAGGTATCCTGTTTCTTCAAGAAACCTTTTAGAAATAGGTATATTCTGTCTCAGTGTATCTTGTATAGATTAGTCAATTTAACGAGTATTATTCAAAAGCACATAAAGGATATCATATATATTTTAGTAACTTTTAGCAAAATATCTTTGTCTTTGTAAGTACAGTAGTATTATGTAGGGAAAAAATATGGTAGAATTTTATGACTACTGTTCTATTGTATAGAAATAAAGATTTTTAAATGGTACAGAATAACCAGAAGAAAATTATTAAGAGATTGAAAAGTATACAGCAACTAAAACATTCATATATAATTTAAGTACTAAAAGAAATTTTATGTGTGTGTGTGTGTGTGTGTGTGTGTGTGTGTGTGTGTGTGTATGTGTGTATGTTTATGGTGCATAATACAGTTTTGGATTTCTTAGCTATAGGACCAGAGGAATTAATTTGCTTAAGTTATATGTTTTGTCTAAAAATGTATATCTAGCTCTTAGGCAGTTAAACCCTGTCCCACAAAGGGACAACAGCTGCAAAAAAGAAAATCAACTTTTTTATCAAAGAGCAGAACTTAACCTTCTGTAATTTTTGAACAAATCAAATTGGCTCATTTTTTCAGGTTCTGCTCTTTGTTTTTCTTGGACAACAGTCCTTGGGGACTTAAATTGCAAGGGAAGTTACATTTTACAAAGTTTAATACTTTATAAGTACACGAGCTAATATGCTCGAATACTTAAATGAGTTAAGAAAATGCAACCACTAACTAATGCAAAAAAAGTCATTAAAGTTTAAAAGTTTACCATATCCAAGGTATGTTTGCTCCTAATATTTAAGAGAAAACTTAACTATTCAAAATCTTTACCAACGGTGTGGTTCTTGAATATTAACTTTTCATCACAACTGCAGGTAACATTATCCCTGGGATTCTGTATGCCGCCCTAAAAACGTCCCACCAAACCTCACAAAGGCTTCTTATGTATTCTTATTGCTGGTTTTGGACGCTATTTCCCACTAAGCAGATCAGAGCTAAGAGTCTCTAGCAGGAACATTCTTCACTTGCACAAGTAACAATGTTGCTCTTAGCTAAGAGAATAGTACCTGGAGACTGTCGCTTAATTAAGGTTATAAAACCCACCACCGGAACACCAAAAATGTCGTATTATATGTCGATTAGATCCACAAGCGGTATTGTAGGTCTAAAAGCTCTAGAAAATGTTCTCCTCCCGTTATAGAGAAACAGCGGTCCTTCTTCAAAACTTGTGTGAAATTAACTACTCCAACATCGTCTGCTTTGATTCTTTCGCAGGGCCTGGCTGGCCACGGCCCGCGGAGCACAGACCTCCATGAGCATGGTTTCGCCGCCACCGCCATCCTTTCCAACTCTCACGTAATTATTCTCAAATCAAGGCTCTAACAAAGCAGAAGAGATCGTGAAGGGTCAGCTTGTGAGTACTCAGCTTACTCTGTAGCTGTGATTGCTACTCTGGTTAAACAGGTAAACACTTTGTCTTTGAGGACAAAACAGTCTTGAGAGGTTAAACCTATCATAAGAGGGCTACACTAAGAATCTCCTACCAGGGAGATGGCCGAGTGGCTCAGTTGGTTAAGAGAGCAAGCTTTGAGCAACAGGGCCACCGGTTCAATTCCCACATGGGCCAGTGACGCTGCACTCGAGCTGAGCTGTCACTGAGCTGCCAACAGGTAGCAGGATGGCTCAGCTGGAGTAACAAGAAGATTGCCTGTTTGATGGTGGGCTATGCCCATCCGCAACTAAGGCTGAATTTAGCACCTTGAGCTGAGCTGCCGCCCGGATGGCTCAGTGGATAAAGCGTGTGCTCTTAAACAACAAGGCTGCTCGTTCGACTCCCGCATGGGATGGTGGCTGCGCCCATCCGCAACTAAGATTGAACACAGCACCTTGAGCTTAGAGGCCATGAGTAGCCGACGGGCAGCCAGATGGAGACTGGCACCCTCCACAACGAAGATTGAAGAACAACAACTTGGCTGGTCCCCTTCCCCAATTCCCCAGTAAAATCTTAAAAAAAAGTATCTCCTACCAGTAACACGAGCCCATGACCTTGAGAAAGGTCCTGTGTCGGCAGCAGTACTTTCCCATGCCGCAGGGAGGCCACTCAGCAAAGGGAAGGCAGCAGCCTCACCTTCAGAGTTTTGGGGTCGCCTCTGAGCTGGTTCTTTCTCTAGGCAAAGTTCTTAGAAATCAGCTTCTATAATTCCATCCTATTTCTTTCAGCTATTAGGTTTCTTACTCAAAATCATATCAATCTAACCACATCTGACTCTCTGACACCTCAACCCATGACTGTCAGAAAGGAAAAACCAAAAACAAGACCAAAGGAGCCTGCTGGGGCAGCTCAGTTAGTTAAGTCCGATGTGTGCAGAAAGCACACGTGTTCTGTCCTTTCCACGTGGGCGTGGCTTTTTGGATCCTACATTTCAAGCCCTTGCAAGGTCTCCAGTTGAGTCTGGGGGAAGGAGAGAGGCTGCTGCACGGTCAGTTGGCTCGGATACTGTGCCAAACATTGACTCCAGCGCCCCTACCTACAGCAACGCTGCGGTACCTGATGAAGCTCTGAAACAACCACTTTATAGAAGTTACTCAGCAGCAAGGTGGGCGAGCTCCCACACATCACAGACACATGATTTTGGTAAGTGTACTATTCACGTGACTCATTTTGCCGTCTGTTTTTTTCGCATGCTAATAACACTAATAACACCATCACCCATTTATCCAAGGTTTTAAAAAAGTAGTTCGACCAGCTTAGCAGGCAGCGAATCAGTCATTTCCATGAGGTCCTGCTGAAGCGTGCGGTAAGTCAGCATACTTGTTAAACTGAGAAACTGAAGTCACATGGGGTCCGTGCCGGCCAAAGCCAACATGGCCCTTCACCTTTCCCGTCCAGGAACCGCTGCCCACAGCGGCCGCGGCCAAGACCGTCAGCAGGTGCAGGACACCCATACACAGTCTTGCCTCCCGAGTCACACACTCAGTGTACAGGATGGCATGGCCACGCTGAGATGACAATCATTTGTATGAATTCAGTTTGTTGAGAAAGTAGTTAATGAGTTTGCTTCCGTAAGATAAAATGTTAAAAATGACCACTCTACAAGCTGCAGCTAAAACTCAAGCTTCTCCCAGGCGTCTGCATTGCTTCCCTCTCCTGTGATCACTGACAGCAGCATGAGCCCCAACCTGGCAGGCTGAAGCAAGCGAACGTTTATGAGGCACAGGTACGCTCCTGGTGCTGAAACAAACAGGGCGACAAGGGACAGTCTCACACACAGAAAAGGGTGTTTGTGTCTTAGAAAAAAGTGCTGGGAAGGTTTCCCACTGCAAACTTGTACCATCAGAGACTGTTGAAAGCCAAAAAACTGTGGAAGTGAGAAAGAGAGGCAGTGGGTAAAAAAAAGGAAGAGTAAGTCTTGCTTATAAAATCCCTGCTCCTGAATGACCTGCTTCCACACAGGGGTCAGCACGCTTCTGGGGGGTGAATGTCTCCTGAGCAGACCTACACCCTTTAGAATAGGGTAGGAACGTCTCTCAGTGTGTGGCCTGTAGAACATCTGCTCAGTCACTGAATCTGAGTTACCGAATCACTACGGGAAATCCACTGAAAGTGGAGAGTCACTATATCTGGGGGGAGAGTATGAGAAGCAGCACTTCTAACCCGCACACTCAAGTTAGAAAACCACTGATTTAGGAAAGAAAAAGGTCATTTACAAAACACTTCCCTTCCCATCTTTCTTCCCCCTCCCCTCCTGGCATGGAGAAAATGGTGCCAGGCTTTCCCGGGGGGCGGGGGAGACTGAGAGAAGGCGGACAGATAAGGTTGGGAGATTGAGAAGACTGAGCAAATACACTAAACAGATAAGTTAATACACTGAGGATAAAGGAAGCCAGTGTTCCTGCTGCCTGAGACGGGATTTATGAACAGAACGGGAAAAGCTGGAAAGAACCCTGAAGTATTGGATTAGAAATGGAAATACCAGTATGAACACGCGCAGTATTAAAACAGAGATAGACACAAACAGACCCAACAGCAGTTGTGGAAGGATAGACAGATGAATGGATGAATGGACAGATGGATGGATGGACAGATGGGACGGATGACTGAATGGATGGATGGATGGATGGATGGATGGACGGACGGATGGATGGATGGATGGGTGGACAGATGGACGGATGACTGAATGGATGAATGGATGGATGGATGGATGGATGGATGGATGGATGGATGGACGGACGGATGGGGGGATGGACAGACAGATGAATGGATGGACAGATGAATGTATGAATGGACGGATGACTGAATGGATGGATGGATGGATGGATGGATGGATGGACGGACAGACGGACGAATACATATTGCCACACGTTTCCTGACTGCTCAAAGGGCCGAGAAGCACTGAAACCCAAAAGCAAACAAGCCTCCCGCAGCACCCAGGTCTTAGTTTCAAAATGCCACACGGCAGCACAAGGAACCAGACCCTCTGGGTGAGACGGCTCATCTCGGGGACGAGGCAGGGAAAGAACAAGATAGGCCTGGAAACTCACTCTACTGCTAGGAAGTAATACTCAAATGACGCTAGGGATATATCAAAACCCATAATGGGGCTCCCGCTGGCCAAATGTGTACAATTTTTATGCATCAAAATAGAGTAGTGGATTATAACCCACTGGATATAATAAGATTTCGTAGATTTATACTGAAATAATGAATGAGTGAAGGAGAAAATAAAGCTCTTCCTTGTGCTAGAAAAGGCCACCTAAGAAATACAGAAGGAATGATAGAAATAAATGCCCATCTTCAGACTGCCATCCTAGTGCAGCTGATACGGGCAGGAATTGCCACCGGGTGCTAAGGCCGTGAACAGAAGTCTGATGAGGAACAGACATTGTGTTATCATCAGTATATCTCCCCACAAAATGCTCATCACAAATTTCTCAATGGTAATGTTGAGGGAGAAACCTTGCAGACACTGAACCTCATCAAGTGGTCAAGGTTAGCATCACCAGTTGCAGGAGGGGTCCAACCAGAGCCGCTGCTGTGACACTGGGGTTGGGGGGTAGAGGAGTCAGCCCGAGAATGGGCCGGAGGCTGAGGGTCACCCTACAGAATGAAAGGCCTGTATTCTCTAAGACTGTCAGAGACACGAGGCAGAGAAAGACTAAAGAATGTTCCACTGCAAAGCAGACGTGTCACTCTTGTAATTTCTGCTGCTGGACAGCGTCCCGGGCCAGGAGAGAGAAAGACAGGAGAGGTATTTGAGACAGTGGGAAATACAAATGGGTCTGTGGGCAGGACGGTCATGTTGTATCAATTCTGATGTGATGATGTCTGAGAGAGCGGTAGAGAGGGAGAGAGTGAAGCAAATGTAGTAAAATATTCAAAATTGGCCAATCTGGGCCAAGGGAATGTGGGAATTCTTTGTTCTAGTCTAATACTTTTCTGTAGCCTGAAACTATTTCAAAGTTTAAATGATTTAAAAGGCAAAATAATTCGTCTATTCCAATGAAAGTCTTTTCTGCTCATCCGGTTCAAATTACTATCTCCTTGAGTTTATAGCTAAGTTGCACACATGTTCTTAGGCTAAAAATTGTGGTTTAAGACCCCAACCTAGAAAGCTGTTTACTTGCCTTCCAATTGCCTTTAATTATTAGTACTAATTTCAAATTGAATGAAACTGCTCCAAAGGTAAACGTAAGTTCCCATGTCAAGATGCCCCGTTTTTACAGAATATAGTGATAACGGAGAAAATCCTGGACTTTGCTAGAAGTGCCCAGCGCAACAGCGAGACTGAACTGGTCAGCGGGGCCGGAGGGTGACACTGGTCAGGTCAAGTTGATTCCGATGTAAGCCAGTCAGGCAAAGGCTGGAGCCCGGCTCCTGCCAATCTCCTGTGTGAGAGCTGGTCAACCCACAGTGGTCTGGAACCTACCACTGCAATGGAAAAGCAGCTCCCAAGAGATCACTAGTAAGCAGATGAGCGGGGCCTCATTACATCATGGCTAACAGGGTCACTCACTTCCTGTATTACAGGTCGAAATCAGACGATGCACGGAGATGGTACACTAAAGGGACAGAACTTAAAGCTTTTGGAAACTCACAAAACCCTCATGAAATGGTGTACTAAAAAATTCCAGATCTCTTCAATTTTCCTTTGTACTACAAAAAAAGGCTATCAGTTGTTTGCATGGTTCCTAATAAACTAGATAATCAAATGAGCGAACAAGCATTAGATGCAAAATTAAGAAGTATGATACAGAGTTGACTATTTTTTAATTCCATAGACAACACAAAATGGTGCTAAAAACGTGGAGAGAGGAACAAGCATGTAGATATCAACTTCCACGGGCAGGAGGTTTGACTGACCATATTCTAAAGCATGTATCACAGTGCATCACACGTCTGTTTTTTTACCGCTGGGCCTCAAGGGTCAGGAGACCTGGGCCCAAGGACGTGAGCATGACAGCTGCTTGGTAAAGCAGGAAGTGCCGGACTAAAAAGCAAAAGGCCAATTTCCTTCCCACAATTTTCACAAGTGGATGTGGTTGAAATCAAGGAAGATTTGGGTTTAGACATTCACTAAACATCTCCTCAGCGCTTGGCCCTCTGCTAGCCGGGTGGGAACATTCTTACTGAAGTCACACAGTAACCGTTCACACTCGCATACACAGTATTACACGAGTAAATCGATGCTCACGATGCCAGGAGAATGCAGAAACCCGAGTGGAGAGCAGGCCCGCACAGCATTCCTCCGCACGCCCCACTCGCACCCAGGAATTGAACCTGCCATAAAGGCAGGCTGGTGAAGGGCCAGACGTCCAAGACGTGGACGGGTGATGCGCCTCAACCCACCTGTACTCTCTCATCATCACTGTGCCCAGCATGTGACATGGCATGGAGGCAGCAGGGTGGTGGCTGACGACACGAACCGGCCTGCCTGGGTTCATGACCCTGCTCCACCTCCTACAGCCCTTGACCGGGCACAAGTCACTTAATCACTGTGCCTGAGTTTCCTCGTTTGTAATAGTGGGTTAATAATAACAGTACATGCCCCAGAGCTGTGAGCATTACATATGTGGTTATATAAAGTCCTTATCACACAGCCTGGCACAGAAGAAGGTGCTAGAACATGAAACAGGGATAAGTAAAATAAGCAAAATTACCCTAAGATGATAAAGAAAACACAACACTGAGATTTCTAAAACAGCAAGTCGGTTTACATACTTGAAAAAACAGTGTGTGCTTTGCAATCCAGAATACGAGGCTGCAGGAGGTTGGCCTCTTTTCTAGAAAGTTTCATTCAGGAAGATTAAACAGTTTCACTAGACCGAACACCACACACACACACGTATTTCCTAAATACAGGTAGACAAAAGACTGGAATTTCATTTCTTTCAGATGAAAATACAAGCACTCTAATGACGGAAATCCACAAATGTCATCGGGCCGTGAAGCGTTGCTCACTGCCCACCATCCTGTTTTACTTACTGTCTTTCATCCCCTACTTGGGGTCAAGAGTTCCAATAAAACTGCAGTTTAACTAAAAAACCACACTTTTTTTCTAGGCTAGCCAAAGCTTCGAAGTTTCTCAGCATTCTGCGCTGTGACACAGAAGTGCCGGTGCCCTGTGGCGGAGCGGAGGTGACAGCGACCTACCTCCGAGTAAGCCAGGGTGACGTGCTCATAAACCCCCTGGTGATGATGGATGGCGTCCTCCAGGTCCTGCAGCTCGGAGGGAAGGTCCACCTCGCCACAGGCTTTACACCACGAGTCCACGTTGCTCATATACTTGGAAGGATAGAAAGAGAAGATTACATCCATTGGTGGCAATTTACAGTGAGAAGTGGCTGCTTCTTAATGTGCTTTTGAAATAAGGGTAGTGGAGAGAGTCTAAGGTCATAGCATGGTGGTATCTCCCTCAGGTGGCTTCACCGCGAGTCTCTCACTTGATTCCTGGACTCCACCCCTGAGTTTGGGTTCCGGCAGAACTGGGGCTGGGTCCAGAACCCCTCATTTGGACCACGGCTGGGAGCGCACCTGGAGCGACTCTGCGTTATCTGGTTGGGGCATCCTGGTTAATGCTCCCATCCCACGTTAGAATGCCTGCTGCCAACTGCTCCGGAGGCCATGCAGCGCCCAGAGGCCTGTCCTCCAGCCCCTGGGCCTCAGCCTCAGGCTCAGGCTAGCAAGGTGCAGCTTCTCCTGGGGCTGTAGTCCAGCCTCTCCGCTTTCCTGGCTTTAAAATGTAAATGGTTCTATAGCTGAAATCATTCACGTAACAGGAAGAACAAAGGGCCCATTTTTCTACTTTTCAAAAGCAAATGCACACAGGAGTAAAAGAAGACCAGGCCAAAGCCGCCTAAAAGCCTCAGCTGTCCCCCGTCCCCCAATCTTAGAGAAGGCTGAGGAGGCAGCCGAGTCACTCAGGTCTCGCCCACTTTACACGGAAACAAGAAGGGTGTTGCATCCGAATCTCTCCTCAGAGTTCTCCACTGCCAGTCCCCCTACCCCACTCCCCACCTCCAGCTGAGAAACCACTCTGCCAAATTTCCTAGGGAGACGCTATCAGCATCCATCATATTGGTGTCAAAGCCAAGCAGAAGGCCTGATTAAAGACGCTAATTCAATTAGGCCAAACAGACATGTTTCCCGGGTTTCACCTCTTTCACTCCTGTTTTCCGTTTTTTTCTACTCACCAGGGAACACAGAAGGTGACTGCTTAAACTGGGGTGACTGACCTGACACACCGGGAACTGCTGATTCTCCTAAAATATGTATGATGATAACCTCCCAGGTACTTATCACATTTTTAGGAACTTTTTTTTTTTTTATTGTTAGTTTCAGGTGTACAGAACAATGCAATAGTTACCATTTTCAACCTCACAAAGTAACAATCCCCCTCCCCCATGTATTGCCCTCCCACCCCCGATATCATGCTTATCTATTACAATTCCATTGAATCCGTTCCCGCTCTCTACTCCATGTCCCGAGACTATATGTATATATAATTATAGTTGACATACTACATCACATTTTTAGGAACTTAAAATATACAGTCACCCAAGTAAGAACTGTTTATGGAAATCCCTTTATTATTAATGTATTGGCTTAGAAAAATATCTGGATGCAAATCTTAGCACCTGAAACCAATTCATATGTCATTAAGTGTCGTCTGATAGCATGCTGTTTCTGATGACTTCCAACTTGACTGTATGGATGGGCGCATGCACAGGGGACCTCCTCCTTAGCCCCTGGCATGGAGTCTTCCTAACATCATCAAGGCAACAGAAGTGGTCACAATTACTCTCCCCCTCTCCTCCTCCGCATATGCTTGTATGACTATTAGGCATATTTCTAAGTATTTCTGAGGTACAGTCTAAGTATTCTTGATCTCTATCTCATGCTCTCCTCTTCCATTACTGCATGGAACACCAATTATTAAGTTGCTGTAAACCTCTTTCAAAGATGAACTGACTGAGGTTAACCATCACCATTAATAAAGCATCGGGTCAAGTGAGCGAATCCCTGCTCCTGCACACTGGCTGCTCCGAAACGCCCCTAATGGAGTTACAACACAGTCTGAAGAGAGGTTAAAACGCTTCTGCTGTCACATGGTAAAGAAAAGCTTTTGTTATATAATACTTCACATAACCACAAGTGAGACTAGTATGTCACTCGCTGTATCAAAAGGACTATTAAAATATATTCAACTCCAGTTTCTGAAGCAACCAGGAAAGAAAAACATTCCAGAAGTTTTATATGTGCCTGTGGTAAATAGCTTACTTGTAATGTCTTAACTATCCTGAGAGAGTACTGATTATACTCACCTGACAGCGTGCAGCCGGGTTCTAACACCTGGGGAAGGATGCTTGCCACATGGAAATCTCATGGAAGGAGGGTTCTGCACATCTAAATTCACTGGTTAAAATACCCAGTGATGGAAACTTTTGACAGGAACTTTTGCATAATTTTTGTCTTCAATTCATGAGATGGCAGCCCCAGGTTGCAGAGGGTGAGCCCTAGGTCCCAAAAGCTTTCTGAAGGGCTGAACACCCAGAGGATCAGGACCCAGTGCCCGATCCAGAGAGCTGAGGAGGAGGGTATTAACAGGTCTTCCACAAAGAGAAGGCAGCCTGGAGTCAAGTCCAGGGTCCACGTCCAGCAGGTACTTATAGACAGAACCTCTTAAAAACTTTTAGTATGCATGATATGTGCATTATGCCTACGGGGGAGGGGCACTGGTATGTTCTTTAAAATCTCCGAGCCCTCTGCTACATTCCACCCCACACACACCATCTTGTAAAATACAGTTGAGGTGGCAGCACTGGGGAAATCTGCCTGGCACGCAGCCTGACACGTCCTAAACGATGACAGAAGGAGGCTGCTGTACTCGAGCGAGGTCAGAGCAGCCAGTTTAGTGTCCAATGCTTTCAATACTCAGAAGACCACAACATGTGAACACACCGCATCTGGCCAGACCGAGGGTGAAGACAGGAGAGTGCAAGAGAGGAGCCGCTTCAGAATTAGGGGTTCTGTGCTTAGCACAATGGTGACTGCTGAGAAGTCGGCTGAGTATACGGTGAAAGGAGTCTGGGTCAGCCGGTTTGCAAAACTGAGGCAAGCAGATGAGGAAAGAGCAATTAATACATAAGCTTTAAACGGTGAGCCGGAATCATTAACTAGATTTATTTTCATTAATTCGCAGATTTATTTATTCCACTAATATCTATCTGCTGAGACCGGGGCTTCTGATTTGGAAGCAGATTGGCTCTCTGGGCTATTCTGCCCCCACCACCCAGAGCTGGGAGTCTCACAGCGAGGGCATCTCACTCCCACCACCTGGTGATGGAGTGAGGTGAGCACAGATGGTTAGCCTGGTTTTGGAAACAAAGGGGCAGAAACTTCCTAGAATGTAAACTTTTAAAATACGTATCCAGGGGACTTTTCTCCTCTTTGGAAAAATTGAGACTGGCTATATTTTATATACACGTGTGAAGTGTATATATGACTTCAAACTTGAGGACTCTTTTCTTTCTTATTTCGAATTTCCTCGTTGTCTGTTTTCATTTCTAGAAAATACTACCTTACTTTTTATTTCATCATTTCTCCTCCCTGAGTCTTAACCAGCACACTCGCTCTCCGGGTGC